ACCTGGAGTATACTCCACAAAAATGTAAGTAAGGGCCCAGAGTCTATTGATTTTTATGGAAGTTAGAAAGGGCTAGCAACACAATAACCTGAATAAGAAACTAGCAGAAGCTAAAAGCACATTTCTGATTAACATGAAATTGCCTCCTTTTAAAACTAGCACATGAAGTGACTCATGCCATTGGCAAGGGACTTTTCTTTTCAGCGTCAAACCGACCTTCTATTTCAATGAAAAAAATTAGTTCATCTAAATCTTATTCACATTTTTTAGATCTTCCACCACCACCCGACCCACCCCCTGGTCAGGGTTTAAGGCAGCAAATAGTCCCCGGCCAGCGCGGAGGCTCGGCAGAGAGGAAAGGAAGCTCTCTTGAGAGGCAGCATGCACCGAACATAGATGAGACAAAGAGCTCCTTGGACCGTCAAGCTAGGACATCACTAGAGTGGCAGCGGCAAACCCAGGAGTGGATAAGCTCTACAGACCGCCAAGAGGATTTCAGGAAAGCCCAACACAAACAAGCCTTCGGATCAGGTGTGTGCGCGCTGCACCGGCCAAGGCAATGCTAGACGGCTTCTTGATGCTTCTCAGCTCAGGGTTTCTGGGTCTGGCAGGAGTTTAGGGAGCACCTCACACCCCTCTGCACCAGCCCAGGCTGGAAAATGAGAAAAGGCACAGTGAAGTGAGAGATGCTTGCCATCCGAGTATTTTCCCACCTGCAACAATGAAATCTCATTAGCACCTGACTCGGTGTGTTTTCACCGTGTTTTGGCAATTAATAATGCTGTCAAGCATAGCAGCGGATAAAAGAGGAACAGTTTCAGGCAGGCAGAGAGGGAGAAACAGATTTTTAGAGTATTTTCTGTTAGGTGTATTTATTAATACATAAAGACACATATTTTCTAATTCTTTCAGCCTGCTTCTAAATTGGCAGCAGGTTGTTTTTGCGTGTCTGCAAGAAGGCTGATCCTGATCCTTCTGAGATACTGACATTCCTTCCATCTGTATTTAAAACACTGTCTTCTCCTTATTCAAAGATATGACAACGTAGCATTCATCTCTTAGGCCCAGCAAGATGACAGCACAGGTTTTCACCTTTATACAGGACCTGCTCACTGCCGAGTGCTGACATCTCCTAAATGGATTTCAAGCTTGTAAAAATGTATGCAGGATGTGATGCTGAGATGGAGTTGTAGTTCTATGGTATTCATAGATTCCTCCTCTCAGCCTAGCCTTGAGTAAAAGCTGCTGTTTTGGGTCGCCTTACCAGGATATTTTCTTTAACTTGAGGATTAGAATGAAGCAGGAGGACAATTAAGAAGATTAAGAAAATATAATTTACACTGTACGTGGAGCTTTCTGTAAGGCTACACTGTTTGTTCAAGTATGTATGTAACTGCCACAGTAACCATGGAGGTATTCACATTATCCATCTTTTCTTGATTTTATTCTACTACTGATGCGCCTTGTTAATCTAGCACATTAGTATCAATGACATTCTAAAAAAAAAACCAGTAGTGTGCAGGCAAACCTGTCATGGGGGCAGGATCAAAATGTTCTCCTAGGAAATATTGCTACCCCTATTTAAGATGTAAATATTTGAAATACAGTCCATATTTTAAAACACGACAATAACTACTATTAAAACCCCCTAATCTTTTGGCTGCATCAATAAGCGAGTGGTTGTTCATGTTGTGAAATGATGATGTGAAGTTGCAGTTTAAAAATAGTGTGTGAAATTCATGCTACTTGGTGAAATGGCAGTTTTAATTACAATGCACAAGATGTGCAAACACATAGAAAATAGCTTGAATATAGCTTATACATCTCATTTCTTTGTTTATTATTATTACCTCCCATGCTTCTCTGACCTGGTAAGCAAGAACTCCCCTCCTATTACTCTGCTTCCTAAGCGTGGAAGTGGTCAGTTATTCTGCAGTACAGAGGGTATACAGCAGTAAAATTCCCATCTTGCAGGACTTGCATCGGTCTGTCCCTAAATAATAAGAGCTTGATCTTGACACTCCTAGTGATGTACACAAGCATTGAATTTGGGGCTAGAGTGATTACAGGTAGCTTATTCTTGGCAAATTCAGGATGACCAGAGCAACTGCGTATTTTTATGCATGACGAAAGGTTCCTCTAGGAGATACTACAGTTTTACCCTGGTGGGAGGGGTTCATAATGTTTGTGGACAAGGTGGGCCAGAGCTTCATATCTGTCTGTCTTCTCTTCCCAGCTTCTTGCACTACAGCTTTCTTGCTCTGTATTTTTTTCTCTGGTAGATTTAAAAAAGACTACTCTTGTGTGTGATGCTTGTTTATATTACTAAATTTTGAAGGGGTTACTGATATTAATTGTGCTTCTTCCCTTTTCCTTTGTTAATGACAAGGATCTCTGGAAATCCATCCTGTCCCAGTTTTCAATGTATTTCCAGAAGGAGTTACTATTAGCTATCAGCTTCCAGAAAATAGCTATTTTGCAGCTTAGGAGGCGTCATTCAGACATTACCAAGCTGTGAGTGAAATTTTGAAAGCAAGTCCCTTGTTTTGAAGTTGAGTAGAATGAAAATACCTAATTCTGGGAACTGTGTTTCCACTGGTTGCTTTCAGTACAAATAAGATCACTGAGTTCCTGCCACTGGCTTTGTTTTGGAACCTCAGAGCATATCAGATATGACATTCTTAGCTACCCCTCTAAAGAAAGTAGTGCTAGATTGAGTTACAGCAGTTTTGATAGTATTAAAAGCCTTTCGATTATCTTATGGAGTATAAAAACATTGTTACTCATATATATCCTGATTTCATAGGCGCTAGAATTGTATCTTCAAATTAAAGGCTCAGTGTTTCAAAGAGAAAGGCATTGGCAAAGCCTCCTCGTATTCTTTGCAGTCCTGGGGCGCGGAGCACTGTTCTGAGTGTTTAATAAATGTGAGCCTACTCTAAGGACTTGAGACAACTACCTTTCGTGTGCTAGAATGTTGTGAAAAACTCTGCCTTTATTTTATGTCACAATTGCTTATTTTATGGATTGTATTTATTTCTGAGGGCGCAACAGATAATTTAACACACCATATGCTCTATAATGATAATGCACTTTGTATTTATTCATGATTGGTTTTTTCTCAATATTTCATTGAATCTGAAGGAGGCCTTATCCTGCATCCACAAACTAGAAAAATAAATCAATTGACCATATATGTCATCTCCAAACTCTTTTAAATGCTAGTGACTTTTCTTTCCATCCTTTAAAAATATATCCAGCCTTCTGCTAAACTGATTTATGCTGCTTGCTTTATTGCTGCCTTAATGCAAGCTGTTCCATATTTTAGCCAGCCTTTGGAAACGAGGTTTTGATCTGATTCTATTGTTAGGGCTTGATATATAAAGAACGAGTAGCATAATTTAGGAGGCTATGGCTGTTAAATGCCATTTTACTATGTCTTCTAAGCATTTCTTTTTATTTCAGCAAGGATAGCACCGAGTCATAGCACAAAACACTGATAATGCCTTTACGTCCTGCAGCGCAAATATTCTAGTCCCTCGGGCAGAGCCAGGGGGAGATACTTTGGCAGAGAAGGGAGTCAGCTGCCTCCTCTTCTGCAACAGATTTACCTTACAAACGAATTCCGTTCAATAGCAGATCACACGGGGAATTCCCCTGTCCTACCCACTTGTGGCAGTAAGCACAAAGAATGAAATCCTGAGTGGTTTTTTTCCACAAATTTGTTCTCATTTAGCATTTCCTTAAGTTAATTGTGCCTCTGCTGCAGCCCTTGCAAAGGCTTCAGGACTGTGAATAAAAGCATTTTATCTCCTCTTTCTTTATGATCATTGCCACCTACTATTCCTTCTGTGTTCCTGCCCTCTGTCAAAGAAAGTCTGTTTCTCCTCATCAGGTTGTTTAAGAGTGAAGAGAATGGGAAAAGCAAAATAAAGAAACCCCTTGCAGCCCAGATTCACTTTAAAAAAATGTAAGGTTCAAGCAGGAGATATCCCACTGATTTCAGAAGGGGCAATTCCTGCATTTGAGGTGAAGCCTATATACTCATATTCTTTCTTCAATCAAGCTATATTTAGCAAATTCTCTTTCCTCAGCTTCTGAGACGGCAAAAGTGGGTAATACACAGCAAAGAAATAAAATAGTGCTTCTATTTCAGTGTTAAATCACTGCTGCTGTTTTGCTTCTTAGGTCAGGATTATTACAACAATATCTCCTGGAAACTCTAATCAGATGTGATGTCTTGTTTTACTTCTTGCTATATGAAGACATACAGTTCTGAGCTTTATTGGTATTAATCCTGCCCTTGCAAGCAGTTCGTTATTAAAAAAGTCTTCACAGAGGAAGAAGCCAAGTGAGAAAAAAACAAGCCTTTTGCTCATAACTGAACATGAAACAAGCTGCAGGAAGATTTACTCACCCCAAATATTACAACTACTAATACTATGTATAATATAATATAATATTTTCCAGTGTAATTCACAACCAGTTAGAAAAATCTTCAGTGTACTTTGCATCGTTAGAAATTACTGAGCTGCTAGAAGCTAATTAAATTAGCTGATACTGTAGTTCTTTATCTAAATTGATTGAGGTAATGTTACCATAATTTAAGATAAAAAAAGGAAAAAGCACATTCATGTAGGCTGGAGGCAAAAACGTAATCATAGCTGCATTGTCTTGGAAATTTTATGTGCCTATATTTTTATTAAAGGATCTATGATTCATATCTATTGCTTCATAATGAATCTAGACTTTTTATAATTAATACAAACCAACTTATGAGTTTACATGAAAGCAAGATTAAATTCATACTATTTTCTTTGTTTGTGGGATACAACACTAAATTGTGTCTTTTCTTAGGTAAAAATTGCCATGCTTTAGATATCTGAGGACAGGAGTGAATATGATCTCCGCACAAGAATAGCTTGTTTATTCCTACTTATTGGAAATTATCTGGTATTTATTTTGTTGTCAGGTTTTTGGTTTTTTTTTTCATTTTCTAGAAGAGGCACTCGTACCATACAGTAAACCCAGCTTCCCATCCCCTGGCGGCCACAGCTCTTCAGGAACAGCTTCTTCTAAGGGATCGACCGGACCTAGAAAAGGTGAAGTCTTGCGAGTAGGTCACCAACGCAATGCCAGTGACCTTCTCGATGTGGGCTATGTGGGATCAAACAGTCAAGGACAGTTTACTGGTGAATTATGTAAGTTTATCTCTAGCTACAGTTTAACCTCTCAAATGGACAAAAAGAGAAAAGCTACAAATCTGTTGTGAAGAGATGATGAAATTGAATGTGATAATCAGATTAAATTTTACCCAGATCTTTTTGGCTTCTGAGGTGTTTTGCCTCTGATGAAACACAAATTAAGTTCTGTCCTTTGGTTTGGACCAGTTCAAATCTGTGTAAGCCACATCAATGTTATCTACATAGTACATCTTCTAGTGTGTAATACTAGTGAAACATTGGAAAAATTGGAAAGAAATTCTAGTAATTTAGAATCATCTTGGCAAAGTATAATGTGCTTTTCTCTGAAAAGACAGTTTTTCTCAGATGAGTGAATGAAGAGGTGCTGAATTTGCTGGGCATGGTGACAAGCACGTGATGTCTTCTCCTTAAGTTTCTGTTGCTGGATGTCCTCTTTTTATTGACTCTGTAGCTTGTTTTTTGAGTTGTATATCCTAACTCTTCCCTCAACTTCCCAGGCCACGGGAACATTTTTGTATTATCACTCAATATCTCTTAAACCTGGTATGAAACCATGTCAGTGTTATATACGTCATGATGGCACCAGATGCCAAAAAGGCTTGACTCTATTGCTTGAAGTAGTACACCAGCATCGCGGCTAGCTCAGATGTACTGGTGTGTTTACTAGTAAAAGCAAAGTAGCTGTTGGCATGTTTGCCTCCTATTTGCTGCAGTCACCTCAGTACCTCCTGGCAGTTACTTCCCAGTAGCTTATAAGAGGGCTAATAGCGATCTGCAAACCCTGAAGTGGGCTGTCTCAGGTACAGTGATAGTAAGTGCTGAATTTTAGCATCCATCGCTTTTCGTCTTAGAAGCAATTAACTCTCTTCTTGAATATTGAATATTCTCTTATTGAATATTCACTCTGTGCTGCAGTAGTATTACCATAGGCTTTGTTTCATGGATTTTTTCTCCTTATTACAACCTCTTTCTCTCTCTCTTTGTTTCTCTCTATAGAGTAGTTGAGAAGACACATTGCAAGCTGCTCTGATGGACCATCAGGTCTGAACTCATGGAAGTGATGACACTAAACAGTGCAATGAACATTTTCTTTATTTATGTACTATTAAAAGAACTGTAAATGCAATGTAAAGACACACAGCCACACATATCCCACAGATACTTTACTTGTGTTCTTCTCTTTAATACACCATCCACCTTAAACTCTTCCTTGTCAGGAGTATATAAAAAAGAAAAAAAAAATCACTCTCCAGGATGAAAAGGATTTCCTTGTGTATATAATTTCTTTTTTTGCATTGCTATGCAAGCTCACCTTCTTTTTAGCTATGTTCATATTCATGTCTGTTTTTATTGGTCTGTTGTACTATATGTGAATTAATAGGCTGTGGTGCCATATATTAACTTTTAATTGTGTAACTTTTATGTTTAAAGTTTGCACTGCAATTTTATTTGGTGATAAGCACAAAACTCTACTCCTCATGACATGAAGAAAAAAGAGACTGAATGTGTGAAGAAGGTTTACGTACTGTAAGCTACTTTGGATAACGCTGGATTTAAAGAAGTATGTTAGGTGGTTTTCCGTTGGAGTGTAGAAATGAGAAAGTGACAGGCAAAACTGATGTCAGCGAAGACATTAGAGAGAGATTTAAATCTTTTAAGAGCAAGCAACATAGTTGCTCCTCCTATTTAAGAAGGGGTCAAAAGTTGGAAGTGTGAGATTAAAGAGTGAATATGAAAATTAAAGGTAGCATGAAATGGCCTAGACCATTTCACTAGAATGATGCCCTTAGTATCTATTTTTAGCCATCCCATGCCATTAAATAAAGGGGAAGAAAACCAAACCTTGCTACAAACAAAAGAGCTTAAGGTGTTTCACTAAAGCAGTTTTTATATTGCAGTTTTAAAGGAATTATTACCATTAATTTATCCAACCCAAAATATAAGACAGAGATTTCCTAGTAGAAACAAGCAATATAAACTCAAGGAATACCTGGTAAGCAGTTAAGGATGCAATTTATTACTCAGACATATTCAGGCTGCTTCCAAAAAATTGAAATGTCAGAGTATCCTATTTCATCTTTCTAATATATGTACAGTACAATAGAAGATAGAGCTGCACCACTGAAATTCATGACATTAATTGTTTTTATGCAGTCTAAACAAACCTTTGTGTTCTGTTACTGCGAGAGCTGAAGCTGGATCCACTAAATTTGTAGTAAAATGTTTAGTGTTTGGAAGGAAAGCAACGGTCAACTATTTTCCGCTTGCATTAAGGACATTTCTGGCAATACAATACATCCAAAAAGTTGGATATAAGCAAAGAAAATCTTTGACCTGTGTTTTAGTGAGTGGCTTCAAACCCTACTATGATGAGGAAGTGACGCATGTTTATACATTTTTTGAATAAACCAGACTCTGTAAGTGGACATTAATGACAGCATCCTGTCTCTTCATTAATTTTCATTACTTTGTCCAAATCTTCTGTACCTTTCAAATCTCAATGAGTAAATTGTCAGACTTTTCTTAAAATATTGTATGTGGATAGCCCCCTCATTTGATGCTTGATTTAAATATTGCATCCTGCAGCTTATTTCTGTTAGTTATCTGACCATGAACACAAGTTTCCATTTGAATACTCTTTTTGTATAACCAGTCTATGTTGTTTTCTATATTGCCTTGGAGCTCACCAGTATTAAGAACACTTTTAGTAATGGCAGAATTTTAGAAAAGTAAATTACAATGCTAAATATGTGTTGCTTTTCATTTCATCAACTTGTTCCATGATAAGATAAAACACTACAGCCCTCAAATATAACTCAGCACTACTGAATATTAAAAAGATGCTAGTTAACTTCCTTAAGGTCAAGACTGTTATTTAGCAGGTTACAAACCAAAAAAAGTTGGGAAAAAAATGTGCATTTATTTATATATGTGAACAATGAATATATGTAATTTTCCTGCTTGTTAAACCATTAGAGTTAAAACCATGACTTATCAATGTGCAAAAATTTTCAAGAAGAAGCCATCGTTTTTACACATGTATGTTTTTTAGTTTGATAATTTCCTGTGAAGAGAAGGCTATTCAGGGTACAATTCAAATTTAATTCTCTGGAAAATGTTTAACCCAGTCACTGGTAGATTATTTTTTTTTTCCTTTTAATTTGAAAGCTTGTGCTGAGCTTTGGTGGAACACCTTACTCACTATATTCTATTCAAAACTCAGTATCATTAGATATTGATAAAGCCATCCCAATTATTTTCAAATATGTGTTTTATCTCTTCCACTGGAAAGTAAATGTGTGTCAGTATTAAAGCTGTGCAGTACCATGTTATTCACTAACGTGTCCATCTGCTTCTGTACATTTTTGTTCATTAATAATTTGCTTACAATATTACATAAGGTGTTGTGTATCGCAAAGTGTCTCCATTATCTTACAGGTGATGTCTCTTCTTTTTTTTTCTCTCTCTCTTTTCTATACAGTGTACTTCCAATGAACCACAGTACATATTTTTTAAAATGCCATTTAATTTACTATTTTAAAAAAGTAATCTTTTTTTTAAAAAATTGAAAACATTTATTGTGAATAATGTGTTTAAAGAAAAGGGATGTTGTGGCAGCACTTAGAGTTGTTTTTTAATTTGTTTTTTAAAAAACTGTTTATTGGCTACAGTTTGTTCACGAAAAGTTTGACCTCTTAATGTGTTTCATTGGTATTGTTAGTGCAGCAAAGTTTAATTGGCATAAAAAGTTGGTTAATAGTACTGTTGAAGTGTGTATTGTATATTTACTGGGGAAAAAATAAAACATATTCACATTTCAAGTCTATGTTAAAAGACCTTGAGTAAGGAGTCAATATGTGAAAATCCAAACTGGGAAAATCAGGCAATAATAACATAGACTGAGCTATAATCATCACTGTCCACTTACAGGTAACAAGGAACATCCTATACTCTCTTTTTTTTAACTGAGATAAGAGCTGTATTGTAAATAGGCCAGTGGTAAACATTGCCTGTCTTAGGGATTTCTGTATAGGGTCCTGTCTGTATAGGGAATAGTTGTACCAATGTAATTACACTGATACAGCTATTCTAGTGATCCATCCTCCTATTGAAGACGTACTATCTCAGTGTACAGCAAGGACTGCAAGTGCATGGCTTACTTTACTTAAAGCCCCTAAAGTAGCAGACATGTAAAAATCTGTGTTAGGTGGGTCTGAACCCTTGGCCTTGGAGTTTTGTGCTGGTGCAGCAACTGCCAACCCAGTACAGAATATCCCCAGAAAGTATAGGTGGATGCTAGGTCAGTATTTCTCAGTCTTTGAGTGAGTAAATGCTCAGTTTTAAAAGCAGGAGGGCTGCTTTTAATAATAAATTGTTACATGTGCTTCAGTGGTGTATTGCTGTATGGGCAGCCATTTCAGTGATGCAAACAGTCATTTCTTTTTTTCTTGTTTGTTATTTCTCAAGCCCTTATCCAAGTCAGTAAACTCTTGTTCGAATAACTTTTGTTTGTCACCTGAAATACAACAGAAGCACTAATTGTTGGGAAAAGTAAAAAGGAAAAGGAATATGGGGTGTTTTAAGTATATTGATTTAGCTACACATCAGTGCAAAAAGAAGACATGATGGTTTGAAATAATGGTAGGCGGGTTTATGCTTGCCTCAGCCCGTACATTGCCAGCCAGGAGAAAATGTGTACTAAGGCTGAGAAAGAGTCCTCACAAATAACAGAGGAAAGGTAATCAAGTTGGGGGAAATTCCGTCAGGAACTTTTTAAAAAAAAAATAAAAATAAAAGTTATAGGTAGCTCTACAGGCAGCTCTTTTGTCTTTTCTACAGTTTATGCAGTTTGCGGTTTTTATGACTAATGGCCTTGTGGAAATTTAGCAGGGGAGCTAGAAGGAATAAAGTTGGCCATCTTTTGTAAAGATTGGGGGGAACTTGTTTGCTTAGGGAAGGATTTTTTAATTTAGTTTTTATTTTTTAAGATATTTTGT